AATGTTTTACATTATCTGTGCCATCGAAGACCAATTTATGCAAAAGGAAGAGAAAGTGTGATAATATCAATCACACTGTTTAGTTATAAAAAGCTAATTTGCCTTACTTTATAATTATGTATCATCAGTAATTCCTCGATTTTGCAAACCTACAAGGATATGCCACTGACATATTTTTATATTTATAAATTATTTAAATAATTTAATTTTCCATCTCTTTCAAAGTATTTAATGTTTATGTTAAAACTAGTGCAATTATTGTTGACTGTTTGTATTTATTATCTGCACATCATATGATATAGTTGCGTTTGTCTGTGACAGTACCCAACTGATACTGATATGGCTGATATTGATATTTGATACTATATTCTAGTTGAGTTTTCATGTGATAACATCAGATTCACATGGGGCAATTGTCATGTAAGAATCTTGGGAAAATTAAAGTTAAATGATCACATTTTCACAAGGTTACTGACAAATCTGCCATAATTAAACAATGTTCTGACCTTTTATCTGATAATGTATGTGATGTATTCATGCAATAAAATCTGGACTGAAATAGTGAAACCAATTTTTGTTGTCTCATCTTGATGATTCTACCTCATAATATCTAATTTTGTGGTCTGTGGGGAAAACACGATAAATTGCAGATTACCATTAATTACAGTAGAATCTACTCTCCCTTAATGTTCCTTCCTTCCCTCACATCCATAATTGCATATACCACTGATTTTTTTATAATTGTTTGAACTGAAACGGAACATGTTAAAGTGAGTAGAAGAACTTCAGGAATATTGAAATCATATTAGGGTTAAATAGAAACGTATTAGAGAACGTCTAAATTTACTCTTATGTCATTCCAGTTCATGAAAGCTTTTGAATACAGACCTAAGGTTCTTGTGAGATTTTATTTAAGCGTTATACCAAAAATAGCCAGCGGGTAACACCAAAACTCTGTTGCATTTTCCTCTCACTAATTTATAAATTTCTGTTGCAACATTACTTCTATCACAAACTAACCACCAAATATGGAACCCTTAATTGAAACGCAGACCTTTCCAACGATATGTATTTTGTCAAGATTATAAAAAGTTTTGATTATAAAATTGTTGTAAATTTTGTAATATGACATCACCCACTAGGGGGAGAAGCCCGCTAAAAGATTTTAAAGTGCCATTGGCATTTCCATGGTAACACAATGGCTGCTTTCAAAACGGGTTTCACAAGATTAATTGTGTTTAAGCTTTCAAATGATATCTAATTTACGATGATTACTAAAATATGTGAAAGGGAAAATAAAAAAAATAAAAATAAAAAAAGAGCGCCAAGAGACACCAGCTGGGTTAAGATGTCAAGTTTGAATGTGTGCAAGTCCAAAGAGTTTGAAGAGCTACAATGTTGGGGAAAATTTTCATCAAATAACAACATAAAAGTACTGCATGTCTTCAGAAGATAGTGCATGATTTAAATGGGCAACATTTATAGTTCTATTATGGCACTTTGTTGAAAGCTTTGGAGCTAAACAGCCGTCAACTGTGGCCTTTTAGCAAGACAGTTGTTTTTTTTTTGTTTTTGTTTTTTTAATTAATAAACATTATTCAAATACAAACACTTAAGGCATATTTTAACAATCATAAATCTGTTTTTTTTTCGTGTTGAAACAGCATTTAAAGAAAAACAGAACAATACAGAGAAAAAAAAGGGGAAAAAAGGGGTGAGGGTCTTAATCTAATAACATGTATAAGTCCAAAGCAGAAAGAAGTTTCAAAGCATTTCTGTCCATCATCCATTGAAGGGATTTTGCAAATAACTTCAAATCATTCTTCAATCCAGTGAAATGGGGTTTAACCTTTAAATACTTACATCTGTGGATAAAGTGTTTGCCTAACACAATCAGGTTATTTATCACAAATTCTAAATTTTTATCATTTATAAACACTCCAACTTTAATTGAGGTCACATTCAAAGGATGCAGCGATATATCTTTAGATTGTATCCAACTTTGAAATGAAAGCCAAAATTCATATACAAATTCACACTGAAAGAAAATATGTTCTACTGTTTCAATGTCTTTCTCACAAAATCCACATGAATTATTTTCCCAATTAAATCTCTCATGTAAAAAGCAATTGGATGGATAAATGTCGTTTAAGATTTTAAATGTCACTTCTTTGGCCTTGGGAAGAATTGGGTATGATAAATATCGCTTCCTTATTTTTTCCGCCTCATCCTCACTGAAGTCTTGCAGAACATATTTTCTTTTCGGTTGATTAGGATAATACTGTTTAGATAACACCTTTCTAATAAACTTATTTGAAAACTGTTTGCTATTTAAATTAATACCTTCAATACAAAGTGATCTAATTTCTGATTGAGAGTTAGAGTACATTACAAACTGTTGAATCATTGTTTTCAGGGGTGCTGGGATGGCCTTCATCACTCTATTGTATTCTCTAATTGGGCACTTGAAACTAATGTTACTTGCTATGCGTTACCATCTTTATGTAAAACTTCTCACCTTCCGATTAAAACACCACTGTACCCACCACTAGATGGAAGCAGAGGCCAATATTCACTTCCTTCTGGTTCACCAGAGAACAGACTTTACTCGTGCTGCAGAAAATTTGAAATGGATGCAAAATAAATGTTACATTATAGTAATTTGTATTTATTGTTATGTTGTTATGCATCTTTATGTTTATTGTTATCTGAATGCAGACTACTGCACAGTTTTCACATTGCACTGTAAACTATATTAATATTAATTTGTTTTGAAAGACAAATACAAAGACTTAGAAGAATACCCGATCACACAAGATTTCAAACGGATTGATCATTAAATATTTTTTCTTTATTTTGAGATAATTTAATTATAAATTGTACATCTTTGGTTTTCTTATTTAGCTATTTTTGTATCAATTTAACAAGTTGCCCATCAATAGACCAATTTCAGTGTTTGCAAACAGTGATGACGTTTTTTTGTGGGCGGAGTCTATCTGGTGGCAGAAAATGACAGTTTTAATGTAGCAGTCTATTCAAGCCATGGAATAAAATAATAAAAAATGTAATTTTGAGTTTATATTTCAAAATTCTGACTTTTTTCTTGCGATTCCAAGATTATATCTCACAATTCTGGTAAGAAAAATCAACTCATTCTTTTTTTTTAGTTTATAATACCACACTTCTGGCTTTTTTCCTCAGAATTGACAAACTCGCAATTGTTGAGTTGAATCAAGTTATAAAGTCCGAACTAGGAGATATAAACTTGAATTTGCAAGAAAAAAAGTCAGAATTGTGAAATAAAATAGTTAAATGTTATAGGTTTAAATAGTATTTCATGCATGTATTTCAACTGTAGGGCTAATACAATATGTCCCCTATCTAGCTGTATATAAAAACAGTATAAGTCTATGCAGTGTCCTTTTTTAGTTAAATAAACATGTGCTAGTCTGTGTCTGATGTTCCACAGAGCTCAGGCTGAAGGGCTTTTAATATCGAGCTGATCTTCTTCATGTAAGTCCGTGTTGTAGGGCGAGTCTCACACATGTGCGGCTCCAGATCATCTGTTATGATCTGCAATATCTTGATGGAATCCTCTTCAAAGCCGCCGGTGATGGATGGAGTCCGAGTCGCTTGTAAGAGCCGGTGTTGGTTTACTCGGTCTGAGCGTGCAGGACCACCCATCGCTCCCCAAACAGCCGACTCATTGAGTCCCACTGCATTTATTGCTGCGCTGCAGTGTTTATGTTGAGCGAAGCCGAGCTGAGAGACGTGTTTTCTCTCTCTCTCTCGCGGTTATGAGATGCTGCTGATTTATGGACTCGGCTCTTGTTTTATTTTGATGTCGTGTTGGAAAGAATTAATAAAATGCACTGATCTCAGCACTTTCAACAAGACCAAAGAGTCAGACCTTTGTGTTTTTTTTTAGTGTGTGGACAACACTTGCTGATTGTTTAATTAGCTGTATATAAATCCTACATGAATGAAATCACGAAACATGTTCTTTTATGAAGGGTTTGTGAAATTATTGTTTGCAAACAGTGATGACGTTTTTTGGTGGCAGAAAATTGCAGTTTTAATGTATCAGTCTATTCAAGCCATGGAATAAAAGAATAAAAAAATTTAATTTCGAGTTTATATTTCAAAATTCTGACTTCTTTCTTGCAGTTCTGAGATTATATCTCACAATTCTGGTACGAAAAATCAACTCGTCATTCTTTCTTTTTAGTTTACAATCCCACACTTCTGGCTTTTTTCCTCAGAATTGACAAACTCGCAATTGTTGAGTTGAATCAAGTTATAAAGTCCGAACTAGGAGATATAAACTTGAATTTGCAAGAAAAAAAGTCAGAATTGTGAAATAAAATAGTTAAATGTTATAGGTTTAAATAGTATTTCATGCATGTATTTCAACTGTAGGGCTAATACAATATGTCCCTTATATGAATATTATATAGACCTATTGTTTAAATCAAATTTATGCTTTAAAAGTAGGGTAATCATAGCAGGTTTCATCTATTTTGTCCGTTTAAACGTCTGCGTTTAGCTTCAAATGCCGTCTTTGACGACAGTATTATATTTTTAAAAAATGATTTGCATTCCGATTTTGACATCCAAAGGCATAACAATAATTTTTTTCTCTTATTGCATGGATTTTACCCGTTTCCCTCCATTTGTTCCCAGTGTTTTTATGCCACCACAATGAATGCGCGCGCAGCTGCAAGTGACGTAACTGTGACGTCTACTCCAAATTGGTCTATATACTTCATATACCATATGGCACAATGTCAAGTTAAAAAGAAGCACAAGTATAAATTACTGAAGGTAATACTCTTAAAATTAAAATAAATAAATATAAATTACAAAATATAACCAAGAATCTTGCAACAATATTTCTACAGGTACTATTCTGTCATCACTTCCACATATTTCATTAATCAGGCCATAAAATGCTTATTATTATTAAAACTTTTAAAATAAAAAATTAAAGATGTCACAGTTTTGTTCATGTACTGGTTTAATTCCAATGTATTAGGAACAATGAACATTCTAGTATCAAGTGTGTTCCTATAATCCTATAAATCAACAGTGAATAGATGTTTACTAAATGTTTTATATTAAACTTCCTTCATCTTCTTCCTGAACAACCTAATTACTTCACTATACATGCCATAGTATTTTTAACATTGTTACATGACATTTGTTTTTAAGCATCATTTCCCGTCATAGGAGGAAGAAGGAAAAGGTGATCTTTGTTACCAATAGGATGTATGTAGGTTCCTTGTGGGGCTTTCCCACAAGTTCAAATTTCAGTTAGACAGGTGCGCGTGCTACGAGTTTGAGAATGAATTCTTGCTGGATGGGATCAGATCGACAGGTGGTGGCTCAATGTTCAACTCATGTCTCAGTTCATCAAGGTTCTGCTCCCAGCGCCGTTCATAGAAGATGCTCAGAACACATCGGGCACGACTGCCATTGCGCAGCGCCCATGGTCCCAGAGACCGAACCAGCAACTGTAGACGACTGACTCCAACATATAGAGACAATATCAAATTTTACTTATTTACCCACACTGTAACATGATTTGTTGCATATGACTTTTTTTAATTATTAAAAACAGCATAAGTTAAAGGTAATATTACAAATACTATCACAATTTTAAAAAAAAAATTATCATTACAGTAAATGACAATTTTAAGGAAAATTTTTGTAAAATATGTGAAATAAGATGTTTAAAAAATATACAGAAATTTCTTTTTTTCCTTTTGATTTTAGGGTGAAATATGATAGTGATGTATGATTGAAATATGATATGAAGTTTTTGAGAGGTTCATCCACATATATATTTTTATGGCAAAATTTAAATCAAATTAATGTACTAGAAATAACATTACATTTATTGCCCAGATACAGTAATGTCATACTAAGGGTCTTTACTTCAGAACATTAATTTTCTAAATTAGATTACAGGTAGAATTTCTTGCATTAGGAGGAAATTGAAAATTAACAAATATTCAGTAGGATGTGTGTAATTTCCTTTTGGTGACATGGGAGCCAGTCAAACTCTAAAACTGGTCACAGCGTAGAGAGTATTAGTTGAAAGCAAAGAATGACTGGACATCATCATAATGAAACCTTCAATATTGACCATAATGAAACATGAACATAAGAGGGGGAAATACTCAGCGAGGACAAATATTAGTTGTAATCATAGAAAATTTCCACAGAAGGGGACATACAGATTTACTGCATCTCTATTATACAAGTTTTACAGTTTGAGATGTAGCAACTCCATAATTTATAATATGACTGAACACATTTCAGCCCTTAATTCAAGTAATCACTTTGTTATACATTTAACTGATTTGAATTTGTCATTGGTTGCATATCTACATAAATTAATCTTCTGGTTTCAGTACAGCTTAAGCTCTACAGACTGCATCTCTGTCATTTTGTCAGTTACCACTAGGGCTGTGCGATATTGAAGAAAAATGCGATATGCGATAACTCATTAAAAAATGCTATTTTCTATATGCGATACGATAATGCTTAAAGTGCCACATGCTCAGATGAAACAGTTTTACTCAGCTGTTGTGTTGTCTCACAATAATGTTAATCACTTTGACACTATCAACTTACAATCAAAGTCTATGGGGCAAGCAAGACATTCTAGAGGTTTACAATAAGATATGTGAAGCTTGTATTTTTGTTAAAGCATTTACATTCATTCTTCCATATGAAAGTATAAATGTGTTATATAAGCTCTAAAGTTGTCCTTGTGGCTGGTCTTTTAAAAACAGGTAAAATACAGCAATATTTTATATGTGTTTTATGTTTGTTTGTTAAAATGATAGACGGTTTCTACAGTAATTGACAACATGTTTCTGTACACAGGCAGACATCATGTTAACTCACCTGACAGACAGATGGAGGGGTCCGAGCATTGCTCCCAGAACACACATGGGCAGACCAGTCTGTGCAGCTTCAAACAATTTCACAACAACCTCACCTGTGGGTAAGAAATAACAGGAACAGGAAAATCTTTCATGAGATGAAAAATGCATGCTTTTATTTGAAGCTTCTGGCATTTGTGTCAAAAAATTATTTATTAATAATGATGAAGAGGCTCAATGCACTTCAGTGCCAGAATAGCTCTGATGCAGCATTGTATTTACACAGAACTAAAAGCTTTTGAGAGATAGTTATATAGGCATACAACAAATGGAAACTATAAACACCTGAAAAGTGGACATATTTAGTTCTGTCAGGACCACTATCGTCAAAATGATAGATACTTAGCATAAAGTTTGGTTTGGCGGTATGGTTCTGTTCTGGGCAAAAACCTCCCTGCCCATCCATGCAGCCTGTCATGAATGAGCAGGGAGAGCAGCAATAATAACCCCCCTAGGGTTAACAGAACAGAACAAGGTAGATATCATTAATGTACTTAATGATATTTAAGTGTAACACTTTATTCAAGATAAAGGAGTCTGATTACCAAGGAATATCAGAAAGCTTGTCTGTCCTGAAAGTCCTGACCTGCCAGAACTAACGCTAACGCTTAATTTATGGTATCGAACACTCACCTAGCATATTGGTGGGCATACTAAGCAAGGTATGCAACAGATCATGGACCTCACGATATCGTTGCATGACATACGCTAGCTCCTCATCATCCACAAACTTTACATCAGCTCTTGTGTCGGGGGTGACTTTCTGAAAAAAGTTGAGATAACAATGGTTAATTTGACCTATTTGCAAATGTTACATGACAATTTGTGTGTTTATCATTTGTCTTACATTTTCTTTTAGGAAACGGAGATACTCTCTTCCAAAAGTCCCATCTGGCAAAGCAGACATTCGAGTGAGGTCTAATGTAGATAGACGGATCCTTGGACGCTCTCTAGAGACCAAATTTGAACAAAGGTAGTGGTAAAAAAAAGTTTGAATTAACGAGGAGATTTGATGTCCATTATGAATGATGGATGCTGTAAACAGTTTTAACAGTAGTCAATGCAAACAAATGAGACATACATGAGAATAGTGTAACCTTCAGGGTCATTTCTCATCCGATCCCTTAACTTGATCAGGGCCTGTTGCCCTGTGGTTTCCCCAAGCACTGCAACCATATCTGTTTTGGTAAAATATGTCAATATACATGAAAGTTTTGAATCATGGTGATTGCTGTCTGAATTCCAGCTCACATGATTTAGGAAATATTATCCTCAGCACAAACATAAACACTTTTCAGCTGGTTAAAGGCTGTGGCGGAGTGATGTTTGGTTACAGTTAGCACCTAAGCTTTTCTACAAATTCCCCATCTCTTGTGTTTGCATATTAAATAAGTTGTCAGCTTTGAATGGACGTTCAATGTTTGTATCTATGTAACAATAAAAAATTGATTTTACTATATTTAATTTCATTCCAAAGAATTCTTAAGGTTTCTCTCAAACACATCTGCAGATTACAGTTGGGTTGGAGAGTCTAGGCACCAAGAAAATTAATGCTACAGTAAAAACCTGGAATTCCTGACAAACTATTTTTCTGGCCTGTGTTATCATTGAAAACAAATGACAAAGAGTTCTCTTTCACTAAAATAATTGTGGACTTTCCACCGAGACTGAAAAAGAAACTGCTATTTAAAGAAAATATTTATCATCAAGAAGCCCGATATGTAATCATCACTAGGTTGACATTACGCAGTGGTCACAATCAGCCTAACATTCAACGCAATGACTATTAAATAACAGCCTCACCATGTCTGTAGGGGTTCTTCAGAGCAGCCACTCCAGAGCCTAAAGCCAAAACAGCCTTCTGGACAGAACTTGTTGGGATATGGCTTGGATACAACCTTCCATCGTATTGTTTTGAATCTGAGCTTGTGTACTGCTGTCCGGTGAGTACTGAGTGCGGGAGAGAGAGTAATAGCTCTTGAGGTTGAACAAATCCTGAGACTCAACTACTCTATATCCATAGTCCTGTGATCAACTATCAATGCTTGCAATGTTGTCATATTGTCATGAAGCTAAAACTTAATTTACTATAAAATGTAACCTCAGAAACCTATTTGCTGTTGAGGGTACATGTTTTATGCCTTAAAGTGTGTTACATTGCAATATATCATATTTCAGGCCAAAATAAAAAAAGGGGAAAAAAGATTTATATTTTGTATAAAGAATATCAAGCCTGTTCTAAGACCATTAGAATTATTTTTTTTTACATAGTGAAATTATTTTCATGACATTTAACATATCCTCCGAATGTCATTACTGTAATGAATAATTACAGTATAAATAAATAAGCGTAGCCTTGGTAAGCATAAAAGACATTTAAAAAAATCTTAATTATTCCAAACTTTTGACCTGATGTGTACGGCTCACCAATATAAAGCATTTTCAAACATCAAAGCAGTAAAAATTAAATACAGCTTAAATTTTCCCCCCCATACATCATAATGTGTTCCTGTCAAAAAAAATAACGACCATCATACATTTTTACCATAATTCACAGAAGACACCCAGTAGTTCTTATACAAAAAAATATTGTCAGGCATATTTAAAACAAGAATCATTGGATGACATTAAAAGACTCTTATTAAGGATTACAGTGCAGCCCCCTAAAACTATTTAATCATGGTTTTAAATCTTTACCAATCTTTGCCACTATCCTTCAAACCACTAGGCTTTACAAATTTGTCAGCAAGAAGTTTTTAATCATTTAAAATATAATACAATTTTGTATGATCACCTTTTCTTTTACATTTTTTTTATTAAGTACAGGTCAGAATAAGTATGTTGTTTTATATTTACAATTACAAATATGTATCTGGTATGCTAAATGATGTAATAATATTTCACCCATATTTTGACATTTTTATTTTCACAAAAGTGATTTGAAAAATTAAAGTAGACAATTTAGTTATGCATTTAATATACGTTCTATGTATATAAAATCACTTTTGTAAACTGAATTGGATGTGGACACCAAATGGGATATCTTGTCTTTGACACATATACTTGTTTGTCAGGAAAGTAATGTCACAATAAAAAAAATCTTAACAGTCCTAAAAACACACTAATTAATTAATTTCTTTTTTTATTTCATTTTATTTATTTATTTATTTATTTGGGGGGGGATAATGACCTAGACATATTCTTGATACCAAGGAAAGTTATTGTGTTGGTTACCACTCACATGGTTAACAAATTTATTAGTAAAGGAACAACTATAAAAAGGAAAGAAAAACAAAACATATCACCATAGCAACAAGGTAAACTTCTTTTGAATTTAAACTTTCTTGTGAAGCAACATGTCTAGCTTTTTTGTTTCTGAGAAGAGATGCTGAGGATTCCAAAGATGTGTGTAGATCGGGCACAAGGTTTTCGTGAAGCGGTTGGCTGTGGTAATTATGAATAGATTTAGTGTAGCCACTAAAGCGTAGAACACTAACACTGTGCTTTTTTATTTTATGTAACGTTAGCCATTCCAAACCTGTATCTGCAGCTATTATACACATACACACACACACACACACACACACACACATATACATATATATATATATATATATTATATATATCAAAATATCTTTCATTTTCCACATAAAATAGGACATATAGTTTTGGAATGACGAGAGAAAGTAAAATTTTAATTTTAAGGAATTCGCGATAGGACATAAACAAATAAAAATAAAGGATTAAAGTATTTTAATGTCCTTTTAAACTTTTTATTTTTTTTTTTACTAAACCGAAATGACGTTAAAGATCACAGTCCGCTAAAATTTGGTGCTGTCAGCTGCTGTATGTTAATCTGTGTAATGTCGTTTAAAGCTGTCGTTTGTTTACATGCAATACTATGCAACCCCAACTTCATTTTAACTAGCACATTTTTGTAGATGATCAAGTACGTTGTGCAAGATGTCAGATCAACATAACCGCTCTCATAGTACTGGTTAGCTAATAAGCTACTAGCAAGGTCAGACATTTTTGCTATAAAATACGCTTACAGTTATACCATGCAATTCAGCAGATTACAACTAACTATGTAACTAGTTAAATCCTAAAAAAAAACTTTGTAAAAATACCTCCATATGAACGTAGACAATGACATCCGCGAGAGGTTTTAAAAAAGCTAAGGAAAGCACCCGACAGACCACGCATAATGGATTACATGGACTGCATGTATGGCAAGCCGTTGTAACATTTCATCCTTAAATCAGAATCAGAATCAGAATGAGCTTTATTGCCAGGTATGTTTACACATACGAGAAATTTGTTTTTTCCTCAAATCTGACTGGACAAGAGGCTTCCCAAAAGTTTTGTTGATATTTCAGCAGTATCCGTCCAGGTACTCTCTGCATGTGAGGGAGGTTACAGAGTTTAAAGAGCATGTTTGGAAAGCCGTTTTAACATTTCATTCTTAAACTGTACTAGTCTCTATTTTCATCTCTATTATCTATCTATCTATCTATCTATCTAATTGAGCTAGGTGGGATATAAATATATGTATAAAAGTAAGATTCCAGGTACTTGTCTCTGTGCTCCTTAGACAGGCTGTCGCTCGGTGCAGTTATATTGTTACACCAAGAAGTGGTGGCAAGGGACTGTCTTTATGAGTCGAGTGCTGTCTACTTAGCGACTTTTCAAACCCCTTTAGCAACTTTTTTCTAAAAAAGCGAACCTTATTTAGTCTTTGAGACTTGCAGGTATACTGCCTCACGAGCGAGGCCTTGTTTCGCTGCGCACACAACTCTCTGTGCGTCTGCTCTGTTAAGTGAGTGGATGTTCAGAGGAGTATATAGATAAAGATAGATATTCTGTTGCTTCTAACATGATCATTTTACATGTAAATATATCCGAAATCACAGCCATAGTCTTTATTATATATGTATTTGAATTTGTCTGACGATGTCTCGATAATAGATTAGGATTTTAGTGCAGATTAAAGGCTTGGACGGGAGCACTGGTTATTTAGTCTTAATAGACTGCATCTCAGTCATTATTTCATATTCATCTCGTTATCTGATAACAGAAACAGAAAAATGTATCAATGAAAACCATTTTATTAAGAAATTGGCTCTATTAAAATACAGTATGTGAGAACAGAGAGAGAGACAAACAAATGTAAAAGGTTGACACTAATGCAAATATGACACAATGATGTAATAAATATGCTAATTAATGTTGTGACGAGTGGGGCGGTGCCGAGAGCCATAGGAATGGAGCGAGGCTGGTGGAGTAAATGATAATAAGTGACACCTGCGCCACTCACCGGTCTCGAGTCCCACGGAGGACTCCGGAAGGATAAAAGGAGGAGTAACGACAGTGAAGGACGAGAGAGGACCAGGCCTGGATTTTATGTTGTTGTTCTTATATTATGTTTTATGCGGCAGTCATCCGTGGGGGGCTACCGCTTTTACTTTTGTTTTGTGTTTGTTCATTTGTTTATTAAAATTTTGTGTTTAAATGTTCGCCGGTTACCGCCTCCTTCTTCCAGATCTACGAATTTTGTTACAAATGCATGGTGTCATCTAGTAACATTTAGCGACTTTTTGAGCAGGCTTCAGCTACTTTGCATTGAAAGAAGTTGGCAACATTGAGTGAGTCAACTAATACTTTTAAAAATGCTGATTCATTCATGAATGAATGAAAGGTGTTGAAGTTAATTTAACTTTGAGCGCCTCTTTATAAGGCTCGATCGACAATCAATGTGTTACATTAGTAATGCCAGCAGCCATGTCACCCTGTAGCCCAAGACTGGTTGCCCACTGAAGCTAAGCAGGGCTGAGCCTGGTCAGTACCTGGATGGGAGACCTCCTGAGAAAACTAGGTTGCTGCTGGAAGAGGTATTAGTGAGGCCAGCAGGGGGTGCTCACTCTGCAGTCTGTGTGGGTCCTAACGCCCCAGTATAATGACGGGGACACTATACTGTAAAAAGCACCGTCCTTCGGATGAGACGTTAAACCGAGGTCCTGACTCTCTGTGGTCATTAAAAATCCCAGGATGTCCTTCGAAAAAGAGTAGGGGTATAACCCCGGTATCCTGGCCCATTGGCCTCTGACCATCATGGCCTCCTAATCATCCCCATACACTGATTGGCTTCATCACTCTGTCTCCTCTCCACCAATGAATCCAGGTGGATGCTACACACTGGTGGTGGTTGAGGAGATTCCCCTGCTTTCATGTAAAGCGCTTTGAGTACCCAGAAAAGCACTATATAAATGTAACAAATTATTATTATTATTATTATTATTATGCAGAAGCTGATGTTTCACTTCATAGAGAACAATGCCATTGATTCAATGCATTGAACTGCACTGACGTCAGTCATGGGAAATCCCCTTAAACACTGAAAGGATGCTATGGCAAAGATATCGCTTTCATCAAGTCACGTCAAGTCACCTTTATTTGTATAGTGCTTTATATAATACTGATTGTGTCAAAGTAGCTTTACAGTGTCAAAGGAAAATAGTTTGTCAATAATGCAAGAGGACAATAACAAAGAGTAATTTTTCAGCTAAAGTCAGTTCATTGAAGATTCAGTGATGTCATCATCCAGTTCAGCTCTCTTCCAATAGTGTCTGTGCAATCAGTCAAGCATCCCCAACTAAGCAAGCCAAAGGCGACAGTGGCAAGGAGCCAAAACTCCATCTGTGACAGAAATGGAGAAAAAACCTTGAAAGAAACCAGGCTCAGTCGGGGGCCAGTTCTCCTCTGCCCAGACAAAACCAGCATGACGTGGTTTAATTCCAGGCTGCAACATGGGTCAGATTGTGTAGGGGACTTGTCTGTTTCCCGTGGTCTTGTGCCGATGGTTGTCAAGGTGACATGGTCTCCGCTAACATTCAGAGCTGTAGAGGTCATCTCTTGGTGCTGATCCACCATCTGGTCTGGATATGGACTGGATCTGGGTGGCTACGGTAACCATCTAATCTGGATACAGACTGGATCCTTATGGCTACGGTGACCTCGGAATAAGAATGAAAGAGACTAATATTAGCATAGATGCCATACTTCTTACGGTGTAGTGAGTACATCGGGTGTTATGGGAAGCGTTCCCGGTTCCAGTTGACATATTAATGCAGCCTAACAATCCTTTAACATCACCTGACAACTGATGGCAAACCTTTTTTTGTTTTTGTTTTTTACGAATGTATAACTTGACCTGACAAGGACAGGCACAGATAATTGCACAGGCTCAGTCAATCTCTCTCTCTGTTTAGTGCAAATCTATTTTACTAATGGTACTGTTTACAGTGTCTTAGTAAATAAGAGACAGTTGGTGTAAAAACTTTACTCTCTTTACTTTTGTTTTGATTATTAACTTATTGAATATTCAATACACATGCATTATTGTAAAACAGAAAGGCATAAAAGTGTTACTTCATAAAAAGTTTTACTAGTAACAATAGAATATAACAGTTACTAGTCACTATTGAAAGAACTATTAATTGTATCTAATGAGAATTTGTAGTATCTAATGAATAAGTACTAGTGTCTAATAAATAAATACTAGTGAATAGGTACTAGTATCTGTTTATAGGTACTAGTATCTAATGAATAAGTACCCATTTTTAATAATAAGAACTAGTACTAAATAGATAAGTACTATTATCTTTTAAAAAGATACTAGTACCTACAAAGAATAAGCACTAGTAGTTAATGAATAAGTAACTGTACTTAATGTAAAAGATACCAATAGCTAAAAAATAAATAGTGACATGAAAATATAGTAGATACTAATATGTTTTAAGGTTCAAATGGGGTGGGAGATACTGCAAATTTTGATATTGATCTGATACCAAGTAAATACAGAGCCAGTATCGCCGATATTGATACCGATACCTTTTCTTTTTAAGAAATGCATTTGAATGAACCTATTACTCTTTGAAAATTAACAATATCTAATGCTGATATGACTAAAATATTACATTAACCGTTGCTACGTGGATGTTCTTTGCCTTTCTTAAAGGGGTCATATGATGCTGTTTTAAAGATCATTATTTTGTGTATTTGGTGTAACAGAATATGTTGACATGCTTTAATGTTCAAAAAACACATTATTTTTCAAATACTGTACATTATTGTAGGTCCTCTATGCCCCACCTCTCTCAAACGCTTCGTTTTCTACAAAGTAACCTCCTTCCGACAAGCGCAGTCTGCTGTGATTGGCCAACTGACCCAGTGCATTGTGATTGGCCGAACACCACAAGCACGCGTCGGAAATGCAACGCCCCTTACCATAATCGCGAGCATACTGGCTTTTCTGCCAGTGACGTCTGTCTCAGTGGTTGTTCTGCATGCTTAATAAACAAACTCCAGCTGGTCCAAAATGCAGCAGCTAGAAAGGGGAACAGACACAGTAATGATGCAGTACACAAGCCGCGGTTAAGACAGCTGACTCTACTGTGATGTGACGCTGTCTCTCTCTCTCTCTCTCACACACACACACACGCGATGCGCAAAACTCCTGGACAGTGTGTTACTGGACTGTGCTATTTGAACAGTCAATAGCAAATACTTAAACTAATAACAAAACATTAGCTGAATCAGAAGCGCCAGATTGTCATAGCAAAGTCAGAATGACCTCCTCTCCTAGGTTCACGAAACGGTCGTCCATAAAATGCATTGCTGTTCTGTTGTACGGCCCCCCGACTGAGTCTGGTTTCTCCCAATGTTTTTTCTCCATTCTGTCATGATGGAGTTTTGGTTCCTTGCCGCTGTCGCCTCTGGCTTGCTTAGTTGGGGACACTTAATTTACAGCGATTGAGTGTTTACTATTGTCATTTTGCATTATTGACACACTATTTTCCTATTTAATGCTGTAAAGTTGCTTTGACACAATCTGTATTGTTAAAAGCACTATATAAATAAAGGTGACTTGACTTGACTCAGTGGGACATTCTAAAACGTTTAATGTGAAAAACGTTTAATGCAGAAATACTATTACAATACAGACAAGCAAAAAAAAAAAACAGAATATGAAGGCAACATGTAAAGTTTCACATTAAGCGTTTTCCTCCCATATAGGGGAGACCAGGGGTAGCTGTAACACTCTGACTAATTACATTTAATTTAATATTATAGTATTGTCCTTATTAGTGAAATATATCAATTGTATTATTAATTAGTGCTCCTATATTTGTTTCTTGTATCAAAAGATGACTAGTGTATTTCAAGTAGTCTGTG